GACAAAGCTCCATTGTTCTTCCGCCTGGTAGGCTCACTGTGGCCTAAAAGTGTAAACAAGTGAGAGTACAACATCTACGTGTTGGTGTTCACACAGTAAGAGTAGAGATTTCTAGCAGCTGCTGAGGGAGAGAGGAAAAGATGCCAGCTGTCTCGGGTTTTTAGTGCTGACTTGACTGGATTCTCTGCTATGCAAAGCAAAAAAAAACAACAGCAACACAGATGCGCAGAGTGAACGATAGCAGGTACAGTGAAAAGGCTGAGGCTGCGATGTATGTACGTATGCATTTCTTAGTTCTCGGCAAAATAACGAGATCAGCAGAGTGTTGACCAGTCTGAAACTAATGCACAAAAGTGCAGCGTGTTTGTGTCTGTGACAAAAAAACAAAAAAAAACAAAAAGCATTGGCAGCCAGTCTACTGCTGCAGTGACCGCTCTCTCCTTGACAGTCAGACACACCCACCAGCTAACAGCAGCTATTTGCAATGAATGAAAAGCATGAGACGACAACCTATTTAAGTTTCTGTACGTACGCGTATACGTAGATGCATGCGTGTGTGCTGCTCACCAGCTCTCTGTATTGAGTCTGTCAGGATCCTGTCAGAAGTGTCGTACTTGGTGTGATAGATGAAACCGTTTTCGATGAAAGCCAGATCGATGCCTGTAAGAAATGAAATACACGCATACACAAGATAAGATACAAAAGAAAGGAGAAAAAAAGATCTTATCTACGACTTTGACACAGAAAGGCTGCACACTTCTATTACTAACGTCTGTACTGTTATCCGAAGTTTGGTCTGCATTACCTGGGATGTTACCAAAGTCCCTGTAGATGCGGAAGTCGGTGTCAGAGGGGATGATGCCACTCTGAAAGACCTCCTGGCCGACCACAGAGGCAAAGGGGTGTTTGGCTGCATGAACATAGGCCTGGACCAGCCACGGGTTCTCTGGACCTTTTTTGGGGAACAGGAGGAAAAGGCTTTTAGGATATTTTACATGTTGGACAGTTATCTCACTTAGCACAAAGAAGAATCTTTCTGTAGAAGACGATATATCACGAGGCTTCTAACACCCTGTTTCTTGATGTCTTGACTTCTAGCCGTTTGTGGTTTTGGTGGCTTTTAAGCTTGTTAAATGTATAACACATGTATAACACATAGGAGTTGTGCCAAGTACTTGTATAAGATAGTCTTTTATGTAAATACGATGTTACCGGCACCACAGGAACCATAATCAGGCAGCTAGTAATCAATAAAGATAAGGAATAGTGGCAGCCTGCCAGAAGGTAGATGGCTGAAGCAAGGACCTACACTGTAGGTACATTATGCAAAAAACTTTAGCAAAGATGAATGTCTTGGTTACTTGATTAGAACAGTTTGTTTGGTACCTGTCTGAAACACAACCTCCTTGCCCCCAACACCTGCAGCCTCCAAGTTAATAAAGGCTCGCACCTGCTTGGCCCATGGATGCTGAGTAATGAAACCATGACTGGCCTAAAGGAGAGAAGGATTCAAAACAAAAGACAAAGAGTTAGTGAGAAAGTAAGAATGTAACAAAAGTAGATTAAACGTTTTAAATAAAAGGACAATCCAAAGAGGTGAAGACAGGCTCGTACCGACATCCAAAGTGTAAAACAAGTCCTCGTCACTTCAGTTTACCTGAAGGATATTTTCCTCTGCCCCGTTAAAGAGGAAGATAACTCCGTGAAGAAGAGGAGTGGATTGGTTGGCCAGAGAATGGAGGACTTCCAGCATAACTGCACAGCTCACTGCGTCATCACTGGCGCCTAAGACAAGAAAACCAGTGTGTGTTTGTTTGTGTGTCAAAAAGGCTAAAAACAAACCTGCTCCTACTCGCCTTTTCACATTTGTATCAGGAAGCTTAGCCTGGTCTGGCAATTACACAAGAGACATGCAATTGTTCACCCAATTGTCCTGAGACTAAAAACGTACGCAAGTGATCCGAATACCAAAAAGCCTCACAAACACATGAGAATGAAGGGAGCAGGCTGGGAGTGCAAACATGCGAAGAATGCGACTCGCTGGTACCAACCCAGCTCCTGGACTGCTTATACAATGTCGAGAGCACAAAAGGGAAAAAGGGAAATAATGAGAAGAAAAGAACCGAGCATGTGAACCGGCATGTGATGCAGAAAGATTAGACAGGTCAACACAATTTACAGAGTAGATGTGAAGAAAGGGGTCATGTGCTCCAGCTTTCTGGATTTAGGGGGGGGGGGGGTTGGTGGGAGTCTGTTCGCTGTCTGTCTGGGTACCATTTATGATCCCAGCAGTGCCACTTATGCCAGCTACATATTAATACCTGTCCCTAAAAAGCTCTGCGAGAGTTCAGAAGAGGGCGAGGACAAATCAAAGCCTGAATACTTCCCCTTTGTGCTTCAAACTACAAAAAAAAAATTCATTGTTAGTACTTTGACTTGGATAATCAGTTTGGAATTCGAAAAAACAAAATCAAAAAGGGATTGCAAGCAGCGGTGGGCTTGAAAAAATGTCTATCTTCCTGGTCCACACCTCTCGGATGAATTTTCTTTTGCTGGTGAAGCTGTGTGCGCACATATGTGTGTGTGTGTTAAGTGGGAAAATATGTCTCCACAACAGGCTCCAGGGTATGGAGTGAAACAGGGAAAACTCCTGAATCAACACATGCCAGATAAATTACGACCACATGATATGCAATCTATCTTCAACAAACACCGTTATCGTAGTGCAGTCCAGCTGGGATCCTCCGATTGCTGCTTAAATCTACCGTTTCTGGATTTTTTTTAAATTTCACACAGTGTGGTCCACATGACTACAGTGCACATTGGACCGAAAGCAGGAGATTCATCATCTTAAAACACCTGAGGGCTTGTGTGCACACACTGTGAAGAAAGGAGCTGCAGCCATGCTAGCAGCTCTGAGAGGCTGCACCGTGGCAGAGATGCTTAAAGCTACATGCTCACATCAGCATACAGGTCTATGGTTGTAAACCAAAGTGTTGGACAAATCTGACCTGAGGACACAATTTTTGGTACACAAGAGGGAACTTGAGGGGTTCCAACAGCAGATTTGAGAAGTTGCAATCAGTTGAAGAAGATAGATGTGATGAAATACTCAGGTGTTATTGCTCCAATGTTTATTCTCTTTAATTTATTCAAAGCTTGACGTTTGAAAGTCCTTTCTGGGAATTCAAGTTTCTCTTCTGCATGTACTTACACGCACACCGAGTGCAACATCTGTTCACCAAAACCTCAATCCCTTTCAGTGGCTTCAGTGGGCGCTCACATAGAAGTAGGCGGGCTTCTTCAGGAGAAGGAGGAAGGCTGTCGTACCTGGACTGTTGGCCACGGTGTCAAAGTGGCAGTTGGCCAGCATGAGGTGCTGCGCCCCGCCTTTGGGCTCCAGCCTGACGGCGATGTTGGTGACACGGTCGTAGAAGCTGGTGAAGCCTCCGAGAAAGTCGATGGAGAAAGTACCGGTGGGACGCTGCACGTCCACCGTGAGCTGATGGGGGCCCGCCGCCGTCTCCACCCGGATGTTCTCGATCTGCTCCAACAAATAGCGCACGGTCAGCACTTCATTCTCCGGGCTGCCCACCGGACGAGGGCCCACGCTGGTGATCTGCTCCAAGTGCCGTCTGGATCGTGAGGGAAGAGACAATATTGTAACGCTGTTTAACTGTGAACAGACAGAAAAACCAAGCCCACATGTTCCATCACAACATTATAGCACATCTAATTAATAACCTGCAGTTAAATATTTCTGTCACAGACAGTGTGTGCATGTATGAGGTCACAGTCCATGGTTTTCTTTTTAAAACCACGGTTTTCTTTTTAAAACCACCTTGAGCTTTCAAAACTTAAACTAGGTTAAATATGTTTCCTGAAGACATCGGTGTGCTTGTTGACATGGTTGCAAACCCACACAGTGCGTGTGTGTGTGTGTGTGTGTGTGTGTGTGTGTGTGTGTGTGTGCACACATATCTCTATGGACTCTGGTGTTTATGTAGTCGTCTTGAATGTTAGCCCATTTAAACACTGTCCTATTTCTGGTTCATAAGCAGATAATTTACCTTTTTTTTTTTTAGCATTTTATGGGGTCAGGCGAACAATTATGCGCCCCTCATTTTAATTTATGTAAGACATTGAAAGGAGAGCTGGATAGGATTACTGTAAAAATATCTGTGTGAGTCATTTTGCCCAAATACTGGTGATTTAAATTAGGTTTTATACAGTTTGACAGTTTCATTGGTGGCTCCAAAAACACAGCGTCCCATAAATTGCATATTGGGGAACATCTACTTCAATCTTAATATGTCAACTCCCATTATTGTAAACAGGTATTTTCTGATATTTTGTAGATCTAAAGATTAAGGTGACAAAGATGGCCACAGAAAAGACAAACACGATGGGATGTTTTTATTCAGTTTGGACCACTGCCCTGACCCAGGCAGGTTACGGTTTAACCTGATCCTCCTCGTCACTACCCAGACTCCCTCAGGAGACTGAAAACAGGAAATGAAGCCAAGCAGCAGCAACCCAATTGGCAAGAAAAAAAGATGCTTCTCATACTTCTCTGAGCAGAAGCAGCTGCTGGGTTGGTGGTGTTTGCTGGCAGCTCTGCACCAGCAGAATAGCTGGTGTGCTAGCTGATGCTCAAGGTGACGGAATAATAATGTCTGTCATCTAAACATGGTGGTGGATGAAGCCATGTGTTTACAGTCTGTTACAAGCATGAATCAAATACAGAAGATGTTGGTTTTCTCTTTGCTTTTGCTCTAGAAAGTCTTCTCTGACATATTATTTTCTTGCAGTGACAAAGTGGTGCCAAATGATCTTGAAGATGTCTGAACCGCTGCTTTCATTTTGTTTTTACAGCAGCATAAAAAGGACATCGCTTTATGCATCTGTATCGGCATGGAACTCATGAAAGACACGATTGTGACCAAAGAAGCTCGGAGCTCTAATCACGCCGGGCTCATATTCATAGAGCAAGCAACCGATGGATGGCAAATCCCTTAACACAGCACTTTGAAGAGCTCAACAGCAGAAAGGCAGACCTCACATTCACTTCCATAATCTGAAAATCTGCTAAAAACATGCTGCACGGTTAAGCTTTTTAATCTAAAATGTTACAGCTTCTTAAGGCCCAAAGATATGCAGATGGGATAAAGGAAAGCAGAAATGGTGTGAAGTCAAATGACTCAAATCGCTGATTGCACACTTTCTTTCCTCTGATGTTTGTATATAATGCATCCTTTGTAAAGTCCTAATATGTGAGGCTCTTTGAACTGCCTTTGAGAATGATATGTTGCTCCAGATAAACTTTGCATGTGTTACCTTACTGGCCAAAAGGTCCACTTGTTTTGCTTTTTTACAGGTTTGGATTTCGAGTATACAGTTTTAGATTATAAATATCTCGAGGTCATCTGACATGCGAGATGTTGACTTTATGGAGGCGACACCATTTAAGGGATCAGTCATAGCGGCGACTGTAGCTCTTCTAACCGGTACACACCGTTACCACACCTGTGTGTCGCGCAGGTTACCTCGCAGGTAATAGGTGAAGGTGGTGGAGGAGGGGACACCCGGTAGTGGTTTCTAGGCGGGTCTGTTGCCAAACTAGAGGAAAGGTTAGCTTGGGGCTCCGTTAGCCAACATATAAATGACCAAAAAAGAGGCGAGTGTTACCAGTACAAAAACTCACCTGGCTCTCAACGCATTGAACTCGCCGGTTGGCTTCCCAATGACGAGCTGCTGTAAGGAGAAATGAACGAGTCCCCACAGCACCAAAATAAATACAGAGACCAGGGAAGCTGCCACCCCTTCCCGCAGCAGATACAGGCTCACTTCGGGCTTCCTCTTCGGGTCGCCGCTGTAGCCGTTATCGGCGCACCGGTCTCGGGAACCGTCGTTATCTTGCGCCGAATAGTTCTGTGTCCCGAAGGGTTTTATTCTTCTGACTGTGGTGTCGCTCTCCATTTTTGAGGCAGCGGTACATCAGCTGCAAGCGTCGCTCTCAGGCGTCGCTTTTTTTTTTCTTCTCTTCTCTGAACGAGCGACGGATCGCACTGAAGGACAAACTTGAATGAGAGGGCGGGCGGCCCGGCTGAGGCGCCTGGAGTTTGCCTAGAGTTTGACTAAGCAGTCGCTTAAGCTTGCTCCTTTAAAATGAACTCAATCAACCCCCCCTCTACAATAACACAATCCAACGGAGAAGCCACGCAAATATCAGCAAATTGTTCAAAAACAAATATAAAAACTGAAAGAAAGACAAGGCTAGATTTTCTTGTGTATATATTTCAACAACAAGAAACTTCTATGCAAAGAAAATGGTCCCAAAATAGTCTACAAGCAACCAGGTGTCACACATATTTGTTAAAAAAAAGGTACATTTATTAAGAAATGTATTGAATTGATGTCCAATATGCACAATATAGAGTTTTGAAGGAGCTACATTGGAAATGTAATATTGGAGAAATAAAAGCACTATTAAGCTTTATATGAAATAATTCCTAAGCAGATGAATAAATAGTTCTAAAAATAGACGTCAACATAATTTATTACAGTATTTATATGACATCGAGTGATATTGTTGCTGTCTGAATTGACGTCATGAATTGACATCATTGCTGCTGCTTTGTCGACACCGCGTGGACGAGATAAGGACGGCAGAAGAGATGTTTTTTACTGTACATCTTATATTTAGTATGTGTACAACACCTAGTTGGTCTTAAAGTCATTACATACTGATTTTTCCTCCTATTAACGCCTTTTTTTTAAGTTTTAAACTTCTGCGCAACAGTTTAAAGATGTTACACCTCATAATCTTCCAGTCATTTAAATGCAGTTTATGGAATTATATAGTCTGAAACATAAATCTTGTGGTCTGACAATTAAGTAAAAGTAGAAGAACACCGTGAATACTCCATTTCAAGTAAAACAATCAGAATGTTACTTAATTAATGTACAGAAGCATTTGGTAACAGAATGCACTGAATATATTAAAAGTCTTTGATGAAGACTAATCCGATGTTTTGTATGTAAAACCCTCAAAAAAAATCTGCAAAGTAATTAGTTACTATAGCTGTCAGATAAATGTAGTAGGGTAATAAGTACAATATTTTCCTCATAAATATACTGTATAAGCATAAATAGCCTAAAATGGAAATATTCAAGTGTAATACAAATACCTGAACATTTTACTTTAGTACAATTGGTTACTTAATGTACTTCCACCAATTAACAAATTAACACATTTCTGTCAGAGTCTCAAAATGACCCGAGAGGTCCATAATCATGCGGCAATAATTCGCCTTTAGTGTCTTTGTTTTTCTCGGTACTTTTCCATTAGACGCCCTCATGTACATACATAGCCCCTAACGGCAGCTAACGTTACCCTATTTGTTTTTACGGTAGCATTGACTTGCTAACGGGAATAATCAGGAAGGAAGGACACGTAGTTAAGTTTTTACATTAAAATTAATTGCACCGAAGGTTTATACATAATGAATATAGATAAGTGACAGTACTCTAAATATTATCCGATGTTTTGGTGTTATGTTAACTGTGGTCATAGGTAACGCCAGTCACATTTCTGAAGTGAAGTTACAGTAGCATCTTCGGCGGTTAGCGTATCTGGTTAGCGTTAGCATGTTAGCAGGTAGTAAAGCTAAATAACAGTACATTTTAGGCTCAGCTTTCCTCTTTCAAAATAAAAGTCTATTTTTTATATTAAAAGGGAATATTTAACTATTTTTTAATGGTAAAAATAACGTCATAGTCCATTCGATTTTTGTGTTACATAATTTTTGGTAGAATAGAATACTGGTTGTTCACTTAAAATGCCACAAATGAAATGCAGAGGGACCAACTCTGAGAACAGCTATCAACCCATCTTATGCTTTGACATCAATATCCATCTGTATATTGCATGTTGTGTAAAGATGTGTATTTTAGCAGAAATCGAATTCACATTAATTGCGCTGTCAATAGAAATCAGGATGTAAGAAACCCCAAAGTATGCTTTAGGTTTTGCTGTAGGTTAATTGTTGGTAAGTTGTTGTTTAACAAAAAGGTCCACAAACTATCTTTTTGTGTGTTTTTCAACCTCATCTTACGGTCTTCATCGGCAGAGCAAAATCAACCCAGTGATGAAGACCATGAAGTGCAGTTGAAAGCTTGAAAAAGGCTGGTGTAGCCCGTATGCTGTCTCCAAAGTGGCAACTGAGTACCACACACCACCTCACTGTGAATTGACTGTCATACAATTAATTTGATTCAGATCTATGAGTATTTCAAGAATTTAGAGGTTCTATCCACCTGGGGGAGGTTACATTCAGTTCAATTTAAATTCAGATTTAACTCAAATACATTTTTCACATGTGGCCCCAACCCTGTTCTCTAGATTTATGACCTCACTTGTTTTAGGAATCCCAGCTACAGTTCAGGGGAAGTTGCTATATAAATTAAATAATAAATAAATAAATAAAACACAGTATATTAAAAGTATGTTACCTGTAAGCTTTATTATTTCTCATACAAAGCAATATTAAATTCAACATAATTTGTCATATCTGCAATGAAAATGTTGCAGGTAAGTTATCGATATGACATGTTATTATATTCGAAATGTTCACTTTTAACTGTGATGACCAACGAAAAACATTTTAATATTAGTACTATTTTGAAGTCAACAAAACAATCTACCGGAAACACGTGACCTCCATCGCATGTGACTTTACTCCTGTTTTTGTAAGAGTCCCGACTCTCTGACCGATCATTAGCTTGCCGAGAATTGCAGAGAGCCCGTCGTGTCTCTACCCGAGGCCGGATGGTAAAATCCAACCTCCAGCGGATCCTAAACAGTCATTGCTTTGCTCGCGAGAAAGAAGGAAAACAACAGTCTTTAACTACCATGGATTTGAGTAATGGTATTTGTGACATGATTGGGAAGTAAGTAAACGATAAAAAAAAAAAACATCTCACCTAGCTAACCGTGATGTGGGGGAGGGGTGGCTAAGCTAACATAGCTTGTAGCAACAGAAAAGCGGAAGTAAAACGTATTTACAATTAAATGTGTATTATGTATGTAAAACGCTGTATCAACAATATCCCAGTGTTACGTGTTAATGCGGCCATCGTTGACTTGTTATTTTAAAAACTGTCATGTTGATAAAAGCTAGAGAGAATAATTTGCTGGTACAAGAGATGACATTAGCATTTGCTAACGTTAGCATTGGCTACCGTATGGAACCTCTGGTACGTCACTGTGGTTAGCTTCGTCAGCTAGTTAGCTAACCAGTTAGCACCAACCGTAGCAAGTATGATAACGTTAACAGATATATAGTTAAGTTAACCGTTTAATTCGTAAAGATACTGACAATGGATTTAAATATAATAAGATTGTTTTAGTTCGTCTCACGTTTGACTTTTCCTAAAGACCAAACCGTTTTCCACGTTTAAGAAAAAAGACGCTAAAGGAGCGTAACGTCAAATATTTGACATAACTTTGTTGCCGTAAAGTGCCGGTGTGGATTCGTCACACAAGACAATATAACCAAACCTCACGTTATTACTGTTACCATACGACCATCAAGTGAGCACGCGATGATCTCGTGAGCTGACAAGAGGCAGGTTGATTATTACGCAACTGACAGTTTACTGCAGCAGCCTTGCATTCATTTACAGAAGGCCTTAAAAGCGTGTAGGCCGTGTTATATAGTATAAGAGTCACCAGCTACTTTAATGAAGCCAAACTTTCAGCTTAAAGGCAAGAAAGATTGAAGTGACAGCTGTTAAAACAGTACTGTATTATTATATTACTGTATTATTACGTTATGCAGCGACAAATCGCTAAATTGATTTATTAATATGTAACAAAATGTATAATAGTTTCGTCGTTTTTTTTCCAAATTCATAGTCTGTTGTAAAAATGCCTAAAATGTCCTAGTTTAAGCCTCTTAGTTGTAAGCAGCATCAGTTGCTTTGTTGTCTTATTGAATAGCTAATGGAGAATCTTCAGGGTTTGCACAAAGCAAGCAGTTGAATGACATCACCCTGTGCATTAGGAAAATATAATGGGTATTTTTAACATTTAATAATAACTGTTAGTTGCAGTGTTAATATAAACCCTGCTGTGATCAGCTTATGTTCATGTGAAAATGTGCCATGTGCTTGGCTTTGTCAGCACCTTTATTATGTGTACAAGACAAAGTATGTTTACCCAACAATTAGTTTAAATGTAGCACAACAAAGATGTTTGTGGACGTGTCGGTAGATTTTAGCAGCTCGGCTAACATCTTAAATTAGGCAGGCTGTTTTAACTGACAACACAAAGACATGATTTCGAGAATATGAGTCATGGTTTGTGGTAAACACAGCGCCACTGTTTTGAGGAACGTTAACTGTAAACGGTATAAAGAGCACCCAGGCCTGCTTGTAGATCGAGCACTTAAACGTTACTAGCAGTATACAACTTGAAAAAAACTTTACATCAGTATTGGAAAATCATTCATTGCTAATAAAACCAAACAGCCTGTCGTTAGTTTTCGCTGGTATTTGAGCAACTGTAGGTCATTAGCTTAATCCCAGAAGATACACGTATTTGCACTATATTCCACTCTGTGAAATTAAATTGCTGCAATTCTTCTTTATTCACGATGGCAAACTTGGTCAAAGCCTATTTTTTTTTTTGTCTGTGTTGAGTCCCATGACTCGTCTTTGAGGTTAGTTATAAAAAAAATACTGAATTTGCATTTTTAACACATAGAAAAACGCAGTACTTGTTGGAAGTGGATTGTGATTCTGTCCCCTCTCCTCCAGGCTGTCCCTGCACTGTAGTAGTACCCGCGGCCTGGGGCCTCTGTGGTGCTCCTGATGCCCCTCTCCCACCCCTGAAGATCCCAGGTGGGCGAGGGAATGGCACACGGGATCACACTCCTTCAGCTCAGCCACTCCACTCAGTAAGGCTTATAACACGCACGCACACACTCTGTGTTATTGCTGAAATGTAATCGGATGCAGAAACGGGTGACAGCTGTTTCTAGAGGAGGAAACGTGTCAAGAATAGGAGTTTCAACCATTTCCTGTCAGTTTGTTGACATGTCGGAGGAAGTCACACCAGGCTTTTACATGATTCAGTCATCTACGCTCAGCAATGACGCATCGTTCGATTTCGTTTCCCTTCAGAGTTCAGCGTATTTGTATTTTGGACAATCATAATCGGACGTGAGAGGGAAACGTATACATATCTACACGTCGCTGACACATCGTATGTCACCCACTGCTGTTTCTCAGATGCGTTACTGGTGTTTTGTGTTTCCAGGATCGAAAATTGAGTGTAACGGAGGAGCCAGCAGGGAACGGTCGCCCTGGAATACTCCACTTCCAAAGTCGTCCCACCGTTACCAGGACAATACAATGGGATGCTGTCCTGAGCAGCGGTGCACTCTACGTGGAGATACCTCTTGACCCGCTTCCTGAGGGCAGCAAGGAGAGGTGAGGCCAGATGGTTGGCAGCAGGAGAGAAAAAACAGAAGCATTTGTACAGTTTGTGGCTGTATGTTTAGAGGTTGTTTTCTAACCTGCGCTGCTCTCCCTCCAGCTTTGCCGCGCTCCTGGAGTATGCTGAAGAACATCTGAAAGTAGTTGCCGTGTTTGTCTGCTTTTACAAGAACAGAGAGGATCGTGGTACGTGCACACCGCCCCTGTTTTTCCCAGCATAATTCTTTTGGTTTCTGTGTTGTGACTCGTACTGCATCTTGATATCAGTTGTCCCCGTCTTGTTCTTGCAGCTAAACTGGTGCGTACATTCAGTTACCTGGGCTTTGAGATTGTGAAACCGGGCCATGCCCTCGTCCCGCCTCGACCTGATGTCTTCTTCATGGCCTACAATTTTGACAGGGACTCCTCGGATGAGGAGTAGCCCCCTTTGAGAGCCCCTCCACCCCCTGCTTACTTCCCGTTGTATGTTTTTCCATCCAAGCTTACTCATATAAATCTGTCTGTGTTGAACCCTCGGCAGTAGCTCCCTGTATGCAAGTGTTCATCTCCCTCATGCTTTTTGTGTTCAAGGGAATATGTAAGATCTCCATTTTCCACCATCTGTTTTATTCTACTGTTTTCATCGAAGATTAATTGGTGTCACCTATAAAAGGAAGGAACCTTTCTTTTGTTTTGGACTTACAATCACATTACAGTTGTCACAGCTATTAATTAAGTTCCGGTGTAATTTCCACTTCTTGTCAAGTCATTGATTTTCTTAGTATTTCCTTCTCCTGATAGAATATGGTGGTGGATTCTTCATTTCTTGAATGTACAATAAAAAGGTCATCAGGTTTACACTCGGGTACTCCAGCTTTCCTTTATTTGGCTAAAGAATGACTTTAAATTTCTCTCATTTCAGTGGGACGAGTTGTATGTAGTAGCACTAATATCCTCTTAAAAGTATTTGGATTTTTTTTTTTTTGTTGAAAAATTACTTTGAGTGATGGCCCCAATAATTGGTACTTCATAGCTGTATAGTGAAATCATTTAGACTAGAGGCAGAGTGAGAAGATGAATGCTGCTGCATGTCTGTCGGCGCTTCAGTTTCAAGTTAAAGATCCTGCAGTGAGTATTGGTACAACGTGAAAGGAAAGGAAATTATCCAAAGTGCTTTTGCTTCTGCCATGTATATCTGACTATTGTAGTATTTTTTTTGTTTCGGAGGTTGAAAAAAAAAATGTGATGTTATGATTGGATATTTTTTTTAATAGCATTCCTTTTAACTTTGTTTTCATGATAGTGTTGAGTTTGTTGTTCACCTGCATAGTGGTACCTGTTGTGCTTCTGTGATAATAAAACAAACAAAAACAATCCTGCATCTACTTTCTGTATGTGTTCACAAATTCATTTGAACTCAATTAGACCCAGAGCAGATCTTGTCCTTTTTTTTCTATTTTAAAATGAAATGACTTTGTAAACCCTGGGGTGCATCATGTTTCTGTCTTACATTAACTGCTAGAGGTGCACTAAAATGCCACTGAGCACCAACCAGAGCACATACATTCTTCACATAATCCTCTGTACATGAGTTATTCATATACATCCTTATATAAAGCTCTTAAAATGTCCCCTAGTCAGTGTAACTAGTACCAGACATATTCTGTGATGCTCAGTGTGCACAAACTGATGGAAATCAGGTCAGTTACAAAAGAGCAGCAGGCAGTCATCCAGAGCATGTCCTGTGTCTTTACACCACCAGGGGGCTCCACAGAACATTGAGCCACACGCGACCATTCAGCGTCAGTGTAGGTTGTATAAACAGTTATGCTGGTTAAGTCATGGCCTCAGGAAGCCTGAAAGTACATTAAGAACTAAGTGAACCAACGTTTTATAATTGAGGTTTCTATTAATCTGTGTGTAGACTGTGCATGACAGGTGGTGTGTTAGATTTGCTGCACCTTTTAGTGCAGGACCATTTATTTATTTACAACATGGCTGTGCCCACCTTCAGTGGTCCAATCAGGGAGGATAACTCAAAACACCTGTGTGGGTAAGCAGGGCCTTAAATGAAGACAGAAGAAAACACCTGGTTCTCTTGATTGAGTCCTTTTTTTCCCCACAGCAGCCATTTTGACTTGTAGGAAAAGCACAGGGCTTTGCTAATAACAGTAGCAATGGGTCTGTTGAATTCAAGCCTCCCAGTAAGTCCTGACACATTGAGTCAGCGTGCACAGTACCGGCACCCTGAAACTGAAGCAGAGAATTGGAATTCAGCCATTGTTGATTTTTTAAAATTTACACCTGTGCGTTTCCTACTATCAAAATGTCTTCTGTAACAAAAGGGCTGTTGCTGTTCAGTTAGAAAAGACTGGAGTGACTAGAATTTGTGATTATGATGCAATGCTGTATTAAGGCATAGTGTTGTCTGCTGTAGACCTGCTTCATTTCCCACAACTTTTTAGACTTAAGATAGTGATTAAGTGTTCATTTAAGGCCTAAAAGGCTTTAAAACTTTCTTTTCAATAAAAGCACAGCTTAATGTATCCATGGAAGGACAATAAGGGGAAAAAAAACACATTTACCATGTGAATAAAAAAAAATAAATAAATCATAGGTATCAAAACAAAACATCTGCCACCAGCAGTTTGGTGGAAAATATTATTTAAAGACAGCACCTTGCTGATTAAAAAACAAAAAATACATTAAAATATGTCTGGTTTTCGGGGTAATTTTGTTCTTCATCTTATATGAAAAAAAACAATTAGTTGGCTTATGATCATCTGCTTGATTTCATTAACGTCACTCACTATAATCTACCGACTTCATATTTTATACTGGAAATAAAAGTCATGATATCTGTAAAATACAAGACAAAAAGAGAAGTTGTTTTTTTTTGGAATCCAAATATTTAATAGGTACATATCAAGTATTATTATGACATGTATAAAATTTCAGATCACAATATGAAGCAATGAAACTCCTCAGACCAGCATTATGCTGCAAATGTTTGAGGTCGCCACATAAAAATGACTAATGATTAAAATAGAAAGAGAAGCAACTAAAATGGTAGAAAAATGGCGCACAGACATAGATAATAGTAAGCATTCTAGGAAAATTAAATGCAACTTTTCAAACGTTTTTTTTCTTCAATAGAGTGCAATAAAAATAAAAACAACACAGCACTGAAGCCAAGCGTCCACAAGACGTCTAAAAATTGTTAGTACTGTAGGTTCACGGAGGGCAGAGGACAGCGCAGAGAGGGGAGAGAGAGACGGGTCACAGCAGAGGAAGAAACGAGGACTATTAGGTCAACGCAGGGAGAAAATAATCTTGGAACAAGATTTGAGCAACAGTGGAAGTAATGCACATCACAGTTAGCTTTAAAAAGACCATAGAAGCATTTGTACTTGCATGTTGTTGATAAAAAGAGAACAAAATCCTGAATGACTGAACAGAAACAAGGACATCACCACAAAACGAAGAAACGGCCGGCCAATGAAAGGCGGCCTGAATGTCAACGGAGCAACTGATGTGTACAGCAGCGCGTCATCGGTCGTCGGCTCTACACTAAACACGGCTACGCCTCAGAGTTACAGGTGAACAAGATGATGTCGATGAACGAGGGCTACGTTTTCCCGCAAAAAAACAACTCAAGTGTCGAAAACCATTCCAGGTGCATTATCTGGAATTCACTCCGACCTCAGGCCAGATCACGGATCAGTGCGGAGACTGTGCTGCTATTTTTGCTTTAAGTGCTTATCAGACCTGCCAACCCTGGACATTTTAGTACCGTATCAGCACTATGAAAGATGTTAATCTGTGTCAGCCGCTCAAGATAAAAAAAAAAAAGAGGCCATTTTTAACTCTGGCTGTGTAATATATGTATAATGTATGCGATGGTGTGTCAGATAAAACATTTAAAACGGGAAGATAACAGAGTGTGTGTGGGTGCAGCGTACATCCTCACAAGTGAACAATAAGCTTCTATATGTTCACTTGTTACATGACATTATTACCATGTGGGACTACGGAGCAGCAACTAAAAAAATAGAACAAAAAAGAAATTGTCAAACTATTTGGGAAATAATATATTCCGTAAGACTATAACTGACTGGTCTTCCTTGATATTCTTATGTTGTAATTTATGTGAAGCGTCCCAGTTCGTTTTCATAGATATGGAGGGGGCAGTTTCTCATTGGTGAGGCTGAATCTACTGGATGGGAACATATAAGAAAAGTTAAGCATAAAAAAAGTAGTGTTTAAGGATAACTTTTTGTTTGTATCCAATTCACAGCTGTCATTCAATCCTTATTTGTATTATTATATTAGACCTGATGATGAATCCACACAGATCTTGCTCTCTCAAACTGGTTGAATGATGATTGACATGTGAAAACATTCACATCTGTCCTACTATTGCGAGCAGAAAACTCATAAAGCCATTAAAAAACAACATCACTATCCCAGGCCAGGACCCTACTTTTACATATAAACATGTACTGTGTTATGCAGCATTTAAAAAAATGACCTAAAAAAACTCCCAACTTTCTGCGTCAAGAATTCTGTTCCTGTATTTACGTATTTAAGATCTACATATTCACACAAACAACAATCAGACCTGATCTACTCTAAAATGTTTGCTGACTTTCTGGCCTTTTAGATTTAAACTTCTGACTATAGGGTGCAGTGATGGACATAATTCAAACATTACATTAACATATTTTAACTCCGCCAAGTGTTTTCAGTTCAGTTTGTTGGTTTGTTTGTCTGTTTGTCAGCAGGATTACAGAAAGACTACTGGTCCGATTTTCATGACATGGGTTTAGCCTGGGCCAAGGAAGAACCCATTACATTTTGGAACAGATCCGAATATCGGGGCTGATACACGCATTCTTTTTCACTTATGGAAATGGCCTTGGTGGAGGTCTGCACTCTCGGAGTGTCCTTCTAGTTAATATATTCAATGTTATGTTGTATGCAAGTATACTGAAACATTCAATGGTGTATTCACAAACCTACCGTGTCCTTCTCATATATACCAGTGAACTCTCTCAGATGCTCTATTGAAAACCTCTAAAAGAATTGAAAAGTGCCATGTTGGGATGGGTATTGTTTACATTTTTCAGTGCCAATAAAACCTTTATGATACTCAACTTTGAGGAATATCAACCTTTTTCCCCATTTAACAAAAGAAGTTCTCAACTATTAAACATTATCTAAACACAAGCAACCGAACAATATTTTTGCCTAAAAGACTAAAATTACATAAATCAGTAGATTTCTAAAAAAATAATAAGTTAGCAACATTGGGGAAAGTGACCGGGCATCTGATGCAAACCTAACAGTTGTTGATAGTCTGTGCTACAAGGCACTCTTGTCCTACAGATGGACTGAATCTAATGTACGCGGACAGTTTAGTCAGAACATTTATAAATGTATTATATATATCATTTTAAGTGTCAAGAGGTTTATGAGAGATTTCTAATAGAATGCGTTTGTTTATCTTGTACATGCATTTCTAGCTGCTTGGAAATGGAAACAAAAAGTGCCTTGCCAAAGAAAGATGATCATTTGTTATGGTCCTGTTCGATACTTCACAAGTGCATTTTATTTTTAGGCGCGATTACTCATCAGAAATGACTTTCTTTGAAGGAGATTTCTGAATGAGCTGCTCTACAGCCTCACGTCTTTGGTATGTTTATGAAGATTTGACTCCACATTAAATCTGAGAGAGTTGTGCCTGTTGATCATTGTTGCGTTCGCTAAGTATGTAAGAGTGCTGCTTTGTTGGACCCAGAAATCTCTTGCCAAAGTTGCTAATTTGTTCTCTGCGAATGAGCTGAAAGTACCTCTAGCAAGACATTTGCTATTCTATGGTACGGCAATGCCATTATTCCACGTGACACGAGCAGCTCGCAGAATGCTAGCATGTGCACCAGATTAACCTGCAGAATGAGTCACGTTATCGATGAAGTGCGTCAAAGACATTGTGCACTTTCCTAATTTTAGCTTGCCATAACCGCCAATTCTCAGTCCCATGACCTACTTGCTCATTCTGAATGTTACGTCCTGCTGTGCCTAAATCACTGTATTAAACTAGCACCTTTATTCGCGAGCTGAGTACGATACTGCACATATATGAAGCAGCTAAGTTCTGTTTTTTTTTTGGTGTAAATACATACATGGTACACAAAAAATGCTTATAGGTTGGCAGGAGTCTGATTTCATGATATTCCCAGGGGAGAATTTTGCACTCAAACAAAGTGCTGTATGTCAATTCATAGAACCAGCGGAGAACACAGTGGAGGGGTAAGCAAAAGAGTAAGCTAACCTTGAGATGGCTAGTGGGTGAGAATCGGGGCTCCTTTTGTGCGTTCGTGTGCATTTGTGTGGGCAGGAGTAGCGAGGATAACAAAAAGAAAATGTCCTTGGTTGAATTTCAGGCTGGTGATGTTAATGGAGACAGTCCAGGTTTAACAGATGAGGTCAGTCCCTACTGAGGTTGTTTGTGTATGAATGATTGTATACATAAATCGCTGTATATGCAATATACATTTGCCCGTGGGTAAGTACAGTGTGTGTGCGCAATGCAGTTTTAAAGTGGAGCTCTAGGTACTTGACGGTATACACGGGTGCACAGAATGGATGCTCGTGTGCGCGTGGGTACGTGGTCTACTTATAAACGTGACTTTCGACCTCATCGGCCCTTGCTGTAGCCGGGATAGAACTGGTCAAGCAGCACCTGAAGCGTCACGTTTTGGGACATGACGTAGTCTTTGCCCAAGTCATGACGGCAGGCGGGGCAGGTGTACACCGTTGCTCGGAACGACCGCTGTAGACAAGTCTGAGGAGAGAGAGAGGACGGCGGGAGACGTTCACACACAAATGCAAGGAGACGAGATTTGAAGCACCGAGTGGTGACAAACGCATCCAGTTCTGTACGCACCTTGCAAACATTGTGTGAGCAGGCGGTGGTGATGGGTTGGAAGGCCAGCTCCTGGCAGCACACACACATGAAGATCTCCTCCATCTTCTGCAGAAAATTCTGCATATAGATACACACAGACAGACAGACACGCATGAAAGGGATGAAGACGTTGAAAAAGGCTAAATAGATTACAATTGTAGAAAGAACTTTTAGAAATATATACTTTTACTAGTATATATACAATATACTTTTAGAAATACTGCCATTTTAACTACCATGCTTCCTGCTAATGTCAGTTTGCAGTTTCCTTTCAATAATACAAAACTATTAACATTGAAAACAACACCTACAAAAAGAGCTGTCTAAATATGATTTCAGTTGGACTTTAAGATCTGAAGACCTTCAATGACTTCTCCTTTAAGAGGCTCCTGTGGGAGATGCTTTGTGATCACTTGAGGAGCCTGAGATGTGTTTGTGTGTCAGATTGTACTACTGGGATTCATACCGCTCCCTCTTTAAGGTATCCCATGGCTTCATCCCAGAGTTTCTTGTTGGCTGTGTCCTCCCCGATCAACTGCTGCTGCTGCTCCGACAGCTGGAAAGTCTCTTCTATCTTCACCCTTTTAGAGGGAGGCTCTGCCGCTGGTGACGACTCTGCTGAAGGCACATAAATAAGACTGAAAAATGCCGCTTCTCTTGGAGAATAAAAGACAATAATGAAAACAAACTTTTACAATAGTGCATGCTGGTAGATATCAAATATTTACAAGCTATCTAAGAAGTTAACTGCTCACTATGTTCTCAGCTGTCCTCTTCTCACAACACTTTGTCTGACCTGCTTTGAGATTCATCTGTAAAATCACCTACCACTCTCTCTGGCTGTCTTCTCCTCTCCATTACTCTGTGGCTCCTCTTCTTCCACACTTGCCATTGGCAGCTCGTCTTCATCTTCCTCATCATTCTCTTCTTTCTTGATCTTGCGTCTCCGTGGCCTCCCCCTCCCGGGATAGTGCTTACCCCGGCCGCCGCGACCAGGTCGGGCACAGGCCTCCTTCTTTGTTTTGTTAGCCATGGCTGCCAAGTAGCCGGGCGGGTACTGCAGACAACGGCGTGCAGTAAAAAAACATATGAAAAACAACTAAATAGCATTGAGCATTGAGATGCATGAGATGATATCTGTAGGGTCTCTACAGATACACTTGCAGTCTAACCTGAACAGAAAGGCCCAGTTTTTTGATCCTCTCTAGTCCTTCAGGTGTCCAAGGTGCCGGTTCCAAATCGTCCCGTCTCAGTAGGTACCGCCACACCAGGTAACCACACTTTCCGATCTCTGGCCAGTACTTAACCACCTAAATTTACACATAAACCAGAAGAAGATTAAATCGTGCCATTGTTTACGATAACACTGGTGCTAGTTAAGTGGCTTTACTTGAAGTAAGCAGGCTACAGAAAACAACAAGATGCTCGTCTGTACCTTGTAAATACCATCGTAGCGATTTCCCTCCTCAGGAGCGTATTTGCTGATGCGTCGACCTTTGGAGCTGCGCACCACTCTCACCGGCTTTCCTGCCCGCCAGTTCCTGGACTCAGCCCCGTCTTTGTCATTCAGAGGTGCATCGCAGTTTGAGGCCAACGCCCTGTAGACAGTTATAGACAAGACATAATGATGTTCATCAAGTCTGACAAAAAAAAAAAAAACAACTGTAGACAGATCTGTTAGCTTTCCATTGATCTTTAAGTGTTGTACCTGTTCATGTGTGTCAGGGTCTGGTCAAAAGAGTGCTCTCCGATCCGTTTGTTCCCTGAGAGGTCACGGCCCCCACTGCCTGTGTAGGTGAACTCATCTCCCCGGTCCTACACAAAGGTCATGGTGACCAGAACAAAGTGATTACGTAAAAATCCACCTCCTTCTCACATAACGGAGATTAATAAAAACATTTGGTAAAACATACAAATAACCCACCACTTCGTCCTCAAAGCCCCCGGCCAACACCAGCGAATAGGAGCCATCATTACTGCGCCCGTGGATACCACCAACATGCGGCCTGTGGACGCCTGCCTCGCTCACCTGAAGCGTTAGTCAGATAAAAGAAAACAGCCGAGCAGGCGGAAAGCCATTGATGATATGACCAGTGATGTATCAAATATCATACTCCAGAAAGATATGACAACACAATCAATCTTAATGTCTTAATACATGTATAGGATGACACATGGGGGACCAGTTTTTATATATTAATCTTTGACGCACTGTCCAAACAGCTAACCTGAACTCTGAATTTCCAGGTGGTTCCAACAGGAACCCCGGGTATGGGTCCATAGTGGTTTGATGGAACAATTGTGCACTCCTTGGTACGCCCCACACAGGCCATACCCTGCAATCACATCGAGAAAGACAACAAAGACTGTAAGCTGCATGCACATTAATACATTTAAATGTCCATCAGTGCAAATGCCTTTGGATCACTTCTAAAGATCGGTTAAAAGCAGAGCGGCTGATATGTTTTACTTTTCATAAGTCATCAGAATCCCGTTTAGGAGGTACACAGGATTTCAAAAGCGAGAAGACAAAGAAAACCATTTCATTTTAAGGGTTCTAAAATTGCAATAAAGTGAAAGGCAAGAATAAATGCGGTGTGACTCACAGCACTTAAATGTGCGCAAACACACGAGCGGGGCTGTTTTCAATTAGTCCACAGAGAAAGGGAGCGTTCTGGTAAAGAAACAAGTTATTTTCCGTTGGCAGTTCCAGGAAAGTGGCTAAGTCATGCTTAATGGCATTGTTCACATTACACCATGGAGCGGAGCGTCAGGGAGACAGCCAGGCCAGGAGGGAAACGAGCCGCCCAATAATATCTTAATACGCTGCCATTAAACTCAAACGTTTAACAGTATGCTTAAAAAAGATGTTGTTAAATATGTGTCAGCAATCTTCCTCGGTAATTAGCTTGAGATAATGTAAATGTAAATTTGACCACAATAGAAAAAAGGGGTGTAGAAAGTGTTCATTAGCCACGTTATGATTATTTGATAAAGAGCTTGATAATCAATAACCCATCAATATTCATACTAATGTAGGCATTTTCATGAAGTGCTGTGACCGAGGATCAAACCAACATAATTAATCAACTCCGGGAGCCTGGTCTAACATTATGCAGATATAAAGTATCAGTGACAGGACCAAAATCAGGATTGTTTGATTTGAGATAAAAAGCTATTTAACAGCACTACAAAGAGGTACACACAAAAGCCTTCACATGAAACAAACCATTTACCTCAAGAACAACACAACACACTGAGCAGATTACTGACTGACACGAAATATTAAAAACACATAAAAGATACATTGAAGCCAGTTTGCAGCAAGTAAATGGAGTAAAATGTGTGTGTGCGCGATGCATTAATAATGCACTGAATGGATGAATCAGTTCTTGATTGGCTCGCCAAGACCTTTGCTGCTGCTGGTGTGCACTATAAGAACTATATGTTACAAACTGCTGCTAGTTTAATGTATTTTACGGCTCTGGAAGATATTTTTTTTGTATAAGTTTGATTTAAACATGATATACCAAAAAAGCCATTGCATTTAAAACCCCAAGGAAGAGGTCTATTTCTTCTTCTGTTAAGTCACTGTCTGACTCTTTTGAATTCATGACGTGTAACACACTCAAACAGCCGTTTGATGAGTAAAATCATTTAGCTTTTCAAAAACTCTGGCTGTGATGCGTCGCGTTTGAAAATTGATTGCTTGCAGCAATTGTTACAGTGTAAATGTGATTGATGGAACATTTTTATCTTATGTTCGGAGCATTTTCAGGCTTTTGGAGCCGACATACAAGGGATTGGAGCCTTTCATTATTATTTTGGCATTTCAATTTTGGACAATTTCTTTTGTTGACAGAAACTGCTTTTTCATATTTATTTACACATCTGTTGCGCCTTCAAGACAATTTGAGGCAGAAACACTGTCAGGCTTGCTGTTTTAATTCACTTACGTTCATATAGAGTCGCTGTCAGTCCACCTGCTGTGTGCGTGTGTGTGTGTGTGTGTGTGTGTACTTTCGGGTGCCCTTGGGTCTCACCTTTCCCCAGTCCCTTTGACTCTCAGTTGTTGCCGAAGGCATCTTGGCTTTCTTCTTGCTGGCTTTGAGCTTCTCTCCTGCCTTCACAACCTCACTGGTGTCGTTCTTACAGGTGGGACAGTACCTGAAAGAATGAGAGTAAATTATTTCTGTGGACGTATACAGGTGTGTATGTGTACGTGTAGAGGTGTGTGTGTGTGTGTGTGTGTGTGTGTGTGTGTGTGTGTGTGTGTGTGTGTGTGAAAGAGAGTTGGATAAGAGCTGCAACAAAGCTCTTCCCCAAATTAGCCAGAATGCAAAGAAACTGAAATTTGGTAATCTGAAAGAAGATGTTGCACCAATTTAAATATTCAAGTTCAACAAATACCAGAAATTTGCAACAAAAGGTGGTTTTAAGGAATGTTGTCAGTCAATTTCATGTTCAGCGTTTTGTTGTTTTACTTCCATGTAAAAAAAACATGTAATGCAAGACACATAAATGGAAGGTGGGATCTTCCTCTTAGTAACTACCCACGCAGAGAAACAGCTGAAGCCACTGCATTAGATAAAATCACACCTGCATTATGTCGTTATGTCGATTTGAACCTTAATCCCTAATTCATTACTGCACTTCAGCTCATACAGAAAACCATTTATCAACCTTTTTAAATAGATTGTGAAGCGCATGACGTTGCGGATAATTGCTGAGCCTCTCTCTCTCTCTCTCTCTCTCTCTCTCTCTCTCTCTCTCTCTCTCTCTCTCTCTCTCTCTC